CGAGATATCATCTTGATCCAGTATTAATAGCAAAGTTCCAAAAAACAGAAAACAACAAATGCTGGCAAGGGTGCGAAGAGAATGGGACCCTTTTACACTGCTGGTGGGACTGTAAAATTATGCAACCACTGTGGAAAATGGTATGGTACTTTCTCAAAAATAACTCCTTCATTTGGTATATGTCCTCAACAACTAAGAGCTGCGACACCACTTAGATCTATGCACACCCAGGTTCGTAGCAGCACTATTCGAGATAGTAAAAAGATGTAGACAGTCTAAATGCCCATCAACAGAAGAATAGTTAAACACACTTTGGTACATATATACAATGGCGTACTAGGAAACACTGAAGAATAATAATGAATCTGCAAAATGCCTCACAACATGGATGAACCTGGAGGACATTATGCTGAGTGAAACTAGTCAATCCCAAAAGGACAAATATTGCATGAGCCCACTGTTGTGTAAAGTTAAGAAAAGATTTTCTTGCTAAATGAAACATTGTGATATTTACAGGCAGGTAGACGGTAAGGAGAGGGGAGAAAAATAAAGTGACTAGAGGTCAAGACTGTGAACTGATTGTACTTGGAGCGGAGTGCAATCACTGGACTGACAGAGTGTATGATATGTTGAAGGTGGGCCTGATGATCTGCTCGGAAAACCTTTACTCAATTCACAATAAAAAGTTGGGAGAAAAAAAATAAAAGGATGATCTTTGCAACAGCAATGTTTTGTGACACAGTGGAGTGGAATCCACATTGGAAGTCTGGGAAATGTGTGTCAGGTGGAGGAATGGTAACAATGAGGATAGGCAAGTCTTAAGAGAATCTGTCTGTGAAGGGAGAAGAGAAAGCAGTAACACAAAAAAATGGAGAGGAGTTTTCTTTTTTAAGCATATTGAAATCTTGCCTGTAAGGGTATAGATGAGAGAGGCTTGAGAAGGTGGTACGAAGAGACCCAGGGAGCAGGTAGGACTTATTCAGTAGGAAAGAGGAGGGACCGGACCCCATCCAAGCCCCACTTTTGACTTGTAGTGAACTTATAGATGACATCAACTCCCTTTTTTGAAAAAGACATCTTTTTCACAGCCACTGAGGTTACGCTCTGAAACCCTGTTCCTGTAACGGACCATCAGTGTTTGTGATGCTAATGAGCTTTGTAGTTCTTTACTCTGGAGTCATTCTAATTCATGGCGAGCCCATTGTGTGCAGAGTAGAACCGCTGTGTGGGTTTTCAGGGCTGTGAACTTTCAGAAGCTTTGTGAGGTGCCTCTGGGTGGGTTCAAACTTTCAAACTTGTGGTTAGTAGTTCAGTGTTTAACCTTTTGTGCCACCCCAGCACTTCTTCTTGACACTTGTTGTTGTTTGGTGCCATCCAGTAGGTACTGACTCATAGTGACCCTATGAACAACAGAAGGAAACACTGCCCAGCTCTGCGCTAACCTCACAATCACTGCTATGTTTGGGGTCATCACTGCTGCCACTGTACCAATCCGTTTAGTTGGGAGTCTTCTTCTTTTTCTCTGACTCTTCACTTAACTAAACATGTTATCTTTCTCTAGGGACTGGTCCCTCCTGATAATATGTCCAATGTATGAGAGGCGAAGTCTGGCCATGCTGGCTTTAAAGGAACATTCTGGCTGTACTTCTTTCAACACAGATTTGCTTATACTTTTGGAATCCTTTCAATATTCTCATCCAATACCATAGCTCAGTGTATTCATTTTTCCATGGTCTTCCTCCAACTTTCGTATGCATATAAAGGTATTGAAAATACCTTGGCTCGGGTCAGGTGTACCTTAGTCCTCAAACTGACACCTTTGTTTTTCAACACTTTAAACAGGTCCTGTGCAACAGATTTGCCTAATGCAATAAGTCGTTTGATTTCTTGACTGCTGCTTCCATAAGTGTTAATGGTTGATCTGAACAAAATGAAATCTTTGGCAACTTCAATCTTTTCTCCGTTTATGTGAATGTTGTTTATTGGTTCAGTGGTGAAGATTTTTGTTTTCTTTACATTGAGGTGCAACCCATACAGAAGGCTGTGGTCTTTGATCTTTATCAGTAAGTATTTTAAGTCCTCTTCTCTTTCAGCAAGCAAGGCTGTATGATCTCCATATCGAAGATCCTAATCCTAATGCCACATTTTCTTCATATAATCCAATTTCTGGCATTATGTGCTCAGCATACAGATTGAATAACTTCAGGTCTTTGTACATTTTGACACTTCTATAAATCTAGTAAGAATAAGCTCATTAGTAGACAATCAGAGGAGCTCTGGTAGTGTAGTGGTTAGGAATCAGGCTGCGAACCGCAAGGTCAGCAGTTCGAAACTACCAGCAGTTCCGCGGGAGAAAGATGAGGCTTTCTGCTCCTGTAAAGAGTTGTTGTTGTTGTTAAGTGCCTTCGAGTCGATTCCGACCCATAGCGACCCTGTACAGGGTTTCCGAGGGTGTAAACCTTTACGGGAGTAGAAAGCCTCATCTTTCTCCCGCGGAGCGGCTGGTAGTTTCGAACCACTGACCTTAAGGTTTGCAGCCCGATTCTTAACCACTACGCTACCAGAGCCTTGGAAACCCTGTACAGGGTTGCTATGAGTAGGAACCGACTCCACCGCAGGCACATAACAACAGACAATCAAGATTTTTTTGATCTCGTTTCTGTCATCTAATAATCTCTTGTCTTTCAGTCACTTGAAAAATGTCATCAGTATATGAATTAATACTTATTCTTTCTATCTTTATTCACAACTCTCCTCCCCCCCCCCCTGCCTTTGCCCTGTAGAGGCGTACTGTGTGAATGGATGGAAGGTGAGAGGTGCGCCGGGGTTTGGTTTCTCTTTATAGTGGAGATTAGAGGTAGAGGTGAAGGCGCTGGCTTTGGGGAAAAAAGATCCTAGATAAGAGCGTGGGTGGGGACAGTTTCAGGGCAGCCGGAATTTATTCCCGTCGGATATGCCTGGAGCAAGGAGAAAGGCAGACTGCGGGCTCCCTGCGCGGGGAGAGGACTTGTCTGGACAACGTGGCCAGACGGCAGAAGGAAGCAGAGTAGGCTGTGACACCGCAGGTTTCTGGGCGGGGATGGAGGCAGAGACGAACCTAAGGAATGGCGGGCATGGCAGGTATGGCAGGTGCTCTGGGCGGCCCTTGATGGGGGTGCCAATGAGTAGTTGGTATTGGCCAATGCAGACTGCAAGGCTAACTGAGAGGTCACTCTGTATGTTGAAAACGAAATTGCCACGGGCATTTCCCCCGTAGAGACTCCTTTGGCTGTAGGGCATGATCGCGCTCCTGGCCTCATCAACCCTTTCTTTTCCTTTGGGAGGGTGGATCAAAGGCTGCATCTCATGGTCACTCACCACCACCAGCACGGCCAGCGGAATCCGGCTGGGCTTGGGGTAGGGGATGGCTAGGGAGGCATCTTGCATTCTCAGGGTCCTGGTTCCGCCCAGCTCCACTATTTACTAGCCGATGACCACAGTTTGCCTGTTTCTGGTCTGAAAAGTCAGACCAATAACTGTTGTCACCTCTTAGACTGTTGTGACTCCAAAAGCGATACAATGTAGACAAATGGCTTAGCGTTCCATACCTAGTAAATGCTCTGTAAGTAAGGGCTGTGGCTACGTGGTTGTCACCTTCTGCTGGGTGTGGGCTGGGCTTGGGGCGGGTGTCGAGGGCGGGCCAGGTGCACCGGCCTCGTCCATCTGGCCGGCTCCGGGAGAATTGGCCCCGGATGGTGCCAGGGCTAGACCGACGGCGGGGTAGCTGCCCGGCTCAAGAAGCGCTGGCCTTCAGCGCGCGGCGGGGGTCAGAATGACGTCGTGGGGGTGAGTGTCCGGAGCCCAGAAAGGTGGAGCGTCAACCTTCGCTAGCTCCGCGCTCCTTCTGGCCTTTTTCTAGTCTCCGGAGCGGGGGCAGGCGCAGGGACCGCTGACCGCCAAACTGTGGGGAGAGGACAGGTTGTCTCTAAATTAAATTCAATCTGTCCCCCGCGTGGGTGAGGATGACGGGAGGGTGACGATACCAGGAACTCAAGTGCTGGTTCCGGGAATTTGACCATCCAGGAACACTGGTTTTCCGGTTGGATAATTCGAAGTCGGGTTTGCCTCTGGGCTGCGGTTGTGAAGTGTGGACGCCCCAAGCCTGGGAGTCAGCCTTCTGGGCTCGGGGCTTGGATCCAGCGGATCTAACCAGCGCCCCTTTTTCCTGCTCTTGGGACTGAGCCTTGGTCAGGACGCCTCGGAGATCTGGGCACCAACGCGCGGAATCCGCAGGGGCAGTTGAGGCGTTATCCCTTCTTCGGCTTCAGAAAATCCGCCTGAGTCGGGGATTCCTGACAGTTGGTTTTCAGGTGCAGATGAACGATCAAAAGAGAATGGAGCATCTTGTAGGGTTCCACGCTTTTAAGAACTGGGAGGGAAAATAGAATTAACATGGGGAAAAATAGACTTGAGGGTCTAATTTAGTACTTTATCAACGACGAAGGATCAGAAACACATTTTATGCTCTTCTATCCCCCAGTTCTTTTTTTTCCCTTCTTGTTTTATTAACCGAAATTCAAGGATAATGGTTAAACTTTAACAAGAAATGTTTGCAACTCTTCTCCCTTCCGCCTCCTACCTTCTCTCTCCAGCAGAGGTTATCTTCCTCACCCTGAATAAAGGTCTCTAGATGGGCCATTTGAAGTGAGGTGTGGTTGATAAGCGGTGCTGGGGTTGTTTTTTCCCTTTCATTGGTGTCAGAAGTGGGATGGTTGAGGCCCCCGATTTAACATCGGAAGGCCCAAGACCCCAATTCTCCCGGTGCCCTAACTTGCTCATTTCAACATGCCCTCCCAGCACCCGCGATCATCTTCCCTGACGCCTTCTCAGCATCCATCACTGGCAGGAGTCAATTCTTCAGCCCTCTGGCTCGGGTTCCGAAGACCTAGAACTGCGGGCCTAAGCCCAGTCCAGCTGCTGACCTGGTTCCATCACTTCTTGGTATCCCATTGAAGAGCCCAATGGCTACTGACAACACCGCCAACAACGACAAAGCCATCGCCGACCGTGGTCCAAGCCCAAAGACCAAAGACAGCCGTATCACCCCAATGCCAGCAGGAAGTAGCTACAGAAAAATGACCTTCGTCCCTTCTCCCACGGGCATGGATCATAGAGACGGCCATTCATTTTTCTTATTTAATCAAAGAGGGGGAAATGTTACAATGTTACAATACCTTCCAGTTCTTCCCTCTCCCTTCCCTCCAACTCCATTTTGTCTGTTTCCCTGCCCTAAGCTACAAGGCGTGTAGTTTAAAGGACAACGTGGCTTTTGATAAATCAGACCACTCCCTTCCTGTTGAACCTATATAAATCCCCTCCCTTTCTGTTGACGCTCTCTTCCTTCTTTCTCTCCTCCCTTCTGCCTCCTGCCTTCTCTCTCCGGCAGAGGTTATCTTCCTCACCCTGAATAAAGGTCTCTAGATGGGCAAAAAAAAGAAATGATTGCAGGAAAATGTAAAAGTCTGTTGGTGAGATTACATTTATTTTTATTTATTTTTAAGTTTTTATTGTGAATCGAGTGATAGTTTACATGGGAGAACATCAGTTTTACACTCATCATTTCATTGCAATGATTACAGATATTACATATTACAGGCGTTAAAATGGGGCACCTGTAGGGGCACACGGACAGAAGATGTGGGAAAGAAAAGCTGTTTTTGTGTCTATTGAATGTCTCAGTGAAGATCCACTACAACCTTCTCCTTCCCCCACTTCCTTAGTAGGTGACTGGGGAGGAGGGTCCTGGCGTTTAAACTGATGCCAGTTTAGAGCCGGCAAGTCTCCCCCAAACTTGCCTTTTCTCTCACTGTGGGCAGCTGGGAATCATGCACAAAGGAGCTGTGGCTTTCATTGGGGAACGTACCTAAGGACTACCCAAACACGACCAGAGAGGCCTCAGAAGACAAGCCTGGGAGTCGGTTACTGAGAGGTCACAGCCTTGAGGACCTTTTGGAGCAGCTCTGCTCTGAAACATGTGGGATCTCTGTTAGTTGGGATTAACTGACTCAAGGCAATTTACGACAATAACCGATCATTTTGTTGCTGTTGAGTTGGTTCTGACCCATAGTGACCCTATAAACAACAGAATGAAACACTGCCATGTCCTGTGCCATCTCACAATTGCAGCTACACTTAAACTACTGCCACTGGGGCAATTCAGTTCGTTGGGGTGGGGAGGGGTCTCCCTCTTTTTCACTGACTCTCCACTTTACTAAGCATGATGTCCGTCTCCAGGGACTGGTCCCTCCTGATAATATGTCCAAAGTATGAGAAACAAAGTCTGGCCATCTTGGTTTCTAAGAAGCATTCTGGTTGTACTTCCTCCAATGCAGATTTGTTGGTTCTTCTGGCAGTCCGTGGTACTTCCAATATTCTCCTCCAACACCAGAACTCAAATGCATCATTTTTCTTCTATGATCTGCCTTATTCACTGTCCAACTTTCACATGCATATATGGTGCACCTAACCCATGGCTTGGGGCTGGCGCAGCTTAGTCCTCCAACTGACATCTTTGCTTTTCATCGCTTTCAAGAGAGAGGTCTTGTGAAGCAGATTTGCCTAATGCAATATGTCGTTTGATTTCTTGGCTGCTATTTCTGTGCGTGTTGATGGTTGATCTGAGCAAAATGAAGTCTTTGAGAACTTCAATCTTAACTTGAATATGTCTGAAGTACAGGACCCCATGTACAACATTTGCCAGTTCAAAAGTGATTGAGTTCTTGTCTCTGCTTTTCTTAGATTTGTTTTGTCTTCCCTTTTCAGACTTTATTTGGATATGCAATTCATTACTTTTTTTATGTTTTGTGATTAGAAATATGTGTTTAAAACTATACACTTTCCTCTCAGCATAGTTTTATCATGTTTCATAGTTTTGTTAAGTGTTCTGATTGTCTTTATATTCTTGTTCTGATTAAAGAGTTGCTTTGGAAAGCTTTTATAAAAATCCGACGTTGTTTGGGAGGGGTTGTTTCTAGGTTATATGTTAATTGCACAAAATATATCATCTAAAACTATTTCCACTTTATTGCAGTTTTCTTTAATAAGAACAGGTTTTGTAATTGTTCTTGAGTTCTTTAGCAGAATATGCATTGTTTAGTTGCTCTATTGCTTTGTATAATTTTGAAACTTAATCTGTCAAAAACTGGAAGAGGCATGTAAGAATGTGTAACTACTGTTGTGTTTCTGGAATCTGGTGTGGTGCTGTTGGATAAAGCATGGTATTGCAAGGTTAGTTTGAACCACAAGGTCAGCAGTTCAAACTCACCAGCTGCTTTTTGAAAACCCTATACGGGGTCATTATGAGTTGGAATCAACTCAATGGCACTTAACAATAACAACAGTTGTATTTCTGGAGCCCTAGTGTGTCACTGTAGGATAAGCACTGGACCACAAAGTCGGTTGCTGGTTCAAACTCACCAGCTGCTCCTTGGAAACCCTATGCAGGGTCACTATGAGTTGGAACCCAACGGCACTTAACAACAACACTGTATTTCTAGACGTTTCTCTTTTCATTTCCTGCTTGTTTTTTTTGTTTTGTTTTGCTTTTATTTACTAGGTAAAGTTTATGACTTTATTATATGTTTTGTAGATCATACATTTGATCATTATGAAGTGGTTCTTTTGTCCTATTTAATACTATTTTCTTTTGCCTTGACTTGAACTATGCTCATATTAATATTGCAAACCTTGCTCCCCACTCCTCATTTTCTTGGAATGTTTTTAGCTATTCTTTTACTTTTGATTTTTCTGAATCTCTGTTGCAGTTTAAATCTCTACATTTAACTCTTCTATCAGAAGTTTATATTGGTAAGTAGTATAAGATATCATTATTCCCTCAAGTTGCTATTCCCATACATGCTACATAATCAAGCCATTTATTACAAAATCAAGAAAAAGGGTCTTAAGGTAACTTGCTCTTTTGTCTCCCTCTGCTCTAGATTTCAGCGGTTCTTCAAGATGCTCCTCTTACTCTTTGGACTTGGAATTATTTTATTTCTGTTAGGAAGCGAGGTCCTTCATATCGAGAACAGAAACTTCAACCCAAAACTCAAACATCCTGCTCCAGCAGCACCGATGCTGAAGCTTTTACCTGAAAAACATCTCAGGAACCTCTTTACCTATGATGGAATCTGGTAAGATGTTGAGTGTCTTCTCTCTTCCATCCTCTTCCACTTTGGCCTAACCTCTCCCTTGTTCTTCCTAAGGCTTACCATGCCCTATTGAGCCCATTTTTCATATGACTGTCTACCTTCCTAAACCTGTGCTGACTGATAGAATCATTCCAAAGTGTGGGAACCTGGGAAGGGCTTGTTCTATAGTAACACCCAGTGAAGTCCCTTCAAACTCTGGAGGGTCTGTTGAACTAAAACGATAGGAAAAATTCTGCTTTCTGTCTCTTCTGGATGGGCATACATGTCACTGATACTCATGTGAGCTCTCAGTTTTAAGGAAGTTAAATATGAGGGATAATTCATGAAAGAAGTAGTCTTCGATCTTTATCCCCTTCCCTACCTTCAACCTCAAGCCACCTGTGACTCCAGATGGACCTTTGCTGGGTCTCCAGGACCTCCACCCAGTTAGTATAGCCCAGGTGTGGAAATGAGGATTCTCAGGGTGAGCGACACACAGGTTCCTTCCCATCCACCAGCTCACCACTCAATCCATATTTACAGTCTTCTTACTTGTTTTAGGTTGTTCCCGAAAAACCAGTGCAAATGTGAAACCACCAAATGGCAGACAGTCATGAACTTTCAGAATGCCTATAATGAAAATGACCTCCCAGGGGTGAACGCAAGGAGACAGGCGGAATATGAACACTTTCAGAGGAGGTAAATTAAGAACACAAGGGCTCTTGGGTCCTGCAATAGAGGCAAAACTCTCTCTAATCTATCCTGCTGGTGTGGACCTTAAGGGAAAGGAAGGGACTTCTATTAACACATGTGCCAGGCACTGGACTGGGGACTTTACTGGTTGTGAGCAGCCATCACATTGACTCTGATGAACGAAGCTTTGCTCCATCCTGTATCATCCTTATAACTGCGGGCATGTTTAAGATAATCAGGATGATGTTGGTGATAACTATTTATCATGACAACTTCAGACCAGGTACAGTTTTGAACTTCCCATATATCAACGCCTGTGAAAAATGGGTACTGGTAGGAAGTGTCAATCATATCTTCTCAATTTTACTGTAAACTCATTGGAAGTGGGATCCATGCCAGGTTATCTTTGTACCAAACACAGCGCCTTGCACAAAGCAGGTAGTCAGTGTGCTTCAGCAGCTAAATGGGAATGTTATGAAGCACCCGTAGCAGCTGAGCCTCTCCCTGCCCAGCCACTCCCTCATTGGCATCAGACCCAGGGCACAGCAGTCATTATTATTGGGTTATGTTTGGTTTTCTCTAAACCTGTATTAATAGGTGTAGTTCCAAGAGAACTAGTCATTTCCACAGGTGAGGGAGAGGGCAGGTGAAGACTGACCAGGACCACCTCCCAGTTCCTTAGCCCTTCCTGTGAGGTCCTGGAAACCAGTCTTTCTCCCAACAGTCATCAGCCTCATGTCCCCTTATTCTCGCTCCCCTGCCCTCCTCTGTTTTGATCTCTCCATCTCTCAGTCTTCTCTCTGCTTCCCTGCTCCTTCTTCCTCCACCACATCCCTCAGGCCTATCTTGATGAAGACAACTGCTTTCCCTCTGCAGTCCCCACACTGTCCAGGGCAGAGAAGGAAGCCGTATTCCTGGTCATCGTGTTCTCTGTGCTCCCCCTTACACCATTCTTTTATGCTACAGATATTCATTACACTGTACTCTTCCCATCCTCTACTTGGGAGACCTCCCAAAATAGTAGCAAAGAGAGAACAGGAAACAGACAAACAGTGGGACCTGTCCTGGCTGGAGGCAGGCAGTTATGGGAACACAGAATCAGAACACAAGGTACTACCTGGTGTGAGAGCTTGTCACATATGGTTCTCTCTATTTTTCTTATCTGTTCTATTATTCTATAAGCTAATTGAGAAGATTAATCAGTGGAAGAGGACGTCATGTATGGTGAAGTAGAGGACCAGTGATTGATCCCTATTGATGATATGTCCAAAGCAAGCCATTCAGATAGTGCTTTGTTAGGATCTATAGGGTTTTCGTGTGGTGCATGTAGGATCAGCAGTGGACTGTGCATCACAAGGCTGGCAGTTCAAACCCACCAGTTTCTCCTTGGAAACCCTATACAGGGTTGCTATGAGTTGGAACTGACTCAATGGCACTTAGCAACAACAACAACAACAACAACAACAACAACATAGGGTTTTGTTGTTAATTTGGGGAAGTAGATCAACAGGCCTTTCTTTCTGCTGAAGCATTGTTTGGAAGCTTTGCTGAAACCTGTCCACAATGGCTGACCCTGCTGGTATTCAAAATACTGATGACATAGTTTCAGGAAACCTAACATCATTGCAACATGAAAGTCATCACAGTATGACATCTGGGTGTGGTGGGGGGGATGCTACTTGCTAACGTTCTATGTTGCTAATGCTCATTTTATCCTCCTAACAACCATATTTAAATTGTTACCCTTGCTTTATGGATGAGAAACGAAAGTTCACAGAAGTGAAGTAACGTGATCAACTTCACACAGTATGTAATAGGTACAGCTGGGATTAGCTACAGATCCTCTGGGCCATTGACAAAGAACCTGTTAACACCCTGAAGCTCTGTTCTGGAGCTCAGACAGAGATCTGCAGGGGCCCGGACTCTCACCGTTCTGATACCCAGCTCTAAGTCAGTGGTGGCTTCCTCTGTTGCAGCAGTTGGTAGGAGGAACTCTAAAGAATGATCTGCTATTGTGAGGTATCACTGAGTCTATTCTAACTCTTAGCGAACACGTGTGCAGTGTAGAACCGTCTCATAGAGTTTTCTAGGCTGTAATCTGTACAAAAGCAGATCACCAGGTCTCTGTCCTATGAAGCCACTGGTTTAAACCCTGGTTTAACCAGGGTTTTCAACCTGTTCAAAATGGTTCAGTCATGGCTGATGTAGCATACACACTGCATAGCAACCAAATCTTTGGTACATGGATTTTGACCCAAGTAGGAAACAGGCAATAGTGCCCTGCTCATAGAGGATGACCAACCACACTGCTTTGAATGTCTAGTAGGAAAATTTTTGTCATTTAACAACAAGAAATCCAATTTTTATATACTCTTTCATACTAATGCTCTTAAAAACATAATAAATTAACCTATCAAACTTTAGACATGATAGAATAAAACATTGACAATTTCAAATAGAATTTTCCCTCTTTTTTTAAATGACCTTTTAAATTTTGTCCTTGTCACATGGTACAGTAGAGTCCTGGTGTGGCACTGTGGGCTAATGCGTCAGACTGCAAAGTTGTTTGAACTGCAAGGTTGGTGGTTCAAGCTCACCAGCTGCTCCTTGGAAACCCTATAAAGGGTCGCTATGGGTCAGAATTGACTTGACGGCACTTCACAACAACAACTCATGGTACAAGATTTTAAGTGGCAAAATGAACACATTTATTAGCAGACCCAAAATAAGTATCCTTTCTCTGTGGCATAAAAAGCAAAAAGTATATAACCTTAAATTATAACAAACATTTATTAATTTAATTTAACATTGGTATATTACCTAAAGATTATGGAATTATTTTTAGGTCCATATGCCATAAAATATTATTATTATTTGTGAAAAGAAAGTTCATTTAAATATTTTAAGTCTTCATTCAACCTTTTATACTGTCCTGGTGTGGCACTGTAGAATAAGAACTGGACGACTAACAGCAAGGTCGGTGGTTCAAGCCACCAGCCTCTCTTAGGAAACCCTACACAGGGTCGTTATGCGTCAGAACAGAATTGACGGCACTTGGCATTAGCAGCCACATTGGCTCTTAGAAGATTTTTTCAACTAGGTTTTGGAAACCACAAAGTCTGCTCAACCAGACCAGTTCCTTGATATAATCTTAAGTCTCTGGCTGGTGGTAGAACATTTCAGGTTTTCATTGTGATTTGTATCTTGTGACTATTTAAAATGGTTCTTTGATAGGAATTTTGTTCTTTAATATTGGGAATCCATCCAATTTCTGAAAACCATATTAAACAACATTTGTCCGGCTTAAATCTCACTGCTCACCTTATTTAACTCCTATTTTTAAACATATTTCAAGATCTCCACTCTACTGGGCGGAGTTCCTGACCTTTTGTCTTTTTCTTTTCCTGTTCTCTTCGTAAGTAGTTCAGCCTTCCATCTTTAACATTATATTTTCTTTTTAACTCTTTATTGTGAATTGAGTGAAGGTTTACAGAGTAGACCATCAGCCCCACCTTCAACATATCATACACTCTGTCAGTCCAGTGATTGCAATCCGCTCCAAGTACCATCAGTTCACAGTACTGACCTTCTCCCTCCCCACCATCTCTCATCCTCCCTGTAGCTATCACAGAACATTTATTTCATTTAAGAAGAAAATCTTTTAACTTTATACAAGAGTGGTGGTGGTGGTGAGACGTAGAGTCAGTTCTACCTCATAGTGGCCCTGTATGTTGTTGTTATGTGCCATGGAGTCGGTTCCGACTCATAGAGACCCTGTACAGTGTTTCCGAGGCTGTAAATCTTTACGGGAGCAGAAAGCCTTCTCTTTCTCCTGTGGAACAGCTGGTAGTTTTGAACTGCTGACCTTAAGGTTCGCAGCCCGATTTGTAACCACTATGCTACCAGGGCTCCTTAGCAACCGTGTATAGGGTTTCTGTAAATTTTTATGGGAGCAGAAAGCCTCATCTTTCTCCCTCAGAACAGCTGGTAGTTTCAAACTTCTGACTTTGAGATTAGCAGCCCAACTCTTAACCTCTATGCTACCAGAGCTCCTTTTATATAACAGTGTGCTCATGCAATACTTGTTCTTTGTGATTGACTAATTTCACTCAGCATAATATCCTCCAGGTTCATCCATATTGTAAGGTGTTTTGCAGATTCTTTGTTATTCTTCAACACTGAGTAATATTCCATTGTGCATATGTATCGAATTTGCCTTAATTATTCTCAGTAGATGGGTATTTAGACTATCTCCATTTTTTACTCTTGTGACTTGTGCTGCCATGAACATGGGTGTGCATATATCTAATCATGCCACAACTCTTATTTCTTGAGGACGTATATCAAATGCAGAGATTGCTAGGTAATACAGTATTTCTAGTTCCAAACTTTTGAGAAAATGCCATGCTATTTTCCAAAGTGGTTGCACCATTTTACAGTCCCACCAGCAATGTAGAAAGGTCCGAGACTCTACACCTTCACCAGCATTTGTTGTTTTCTGTTTTTTGGAACTTTGCTACTAATGCTGGAGTAATTTGATATCTCACTGTTACTTTGATTTGCATCTGGTGTGGCATTATTGGTTTATGCACTGGACTGCAAAGTCGACTTGAACCACAGGCTGGTGGTTCAGATTTCACCAGCTGCTCCTAGGAAACCCTATACAGGGTCACTATGGATCAGAACTGACTCGATGGAACTTAACAACAACACAATAGCTAATGATCATGAGCATTACTTTGTGTGTTTGTTGGCTGTTGAATGTCTTCTTTGGCAGTGTCTGTTCATGTCTTCTGCCCATTGTTTAATTAGATTATTTGTCTTCTTGTTCAAACATTGAAGTGTTCTTCAATGAGGGATATTGGTTTATAATTTTCTTTCTTAGTGATGTCTTTGCCTGTTTTGGTATCAGTGTTATGCTTGTTTCATAAAATAAATTTGCAAGTTTCCCATCTTTGTCTATGTTGTGGAATAGTTTGAGTAGAATTGATGTCAGCTGTTCTCTG